TAAAGGATAAAAGCGTGGATTTTTAAATAATATTTTTACAAGGACTTAAAGGATAAAAGGCGTGGATTTTTAAATAATATTTTTACAAGGACTTAAAGGATAAAAGCGTGGATTTTTAAATAATATTTTTACAAGGACTTAAAGGATAAAAGGCGTGGATTTTTACAAGGACACATATTTTTTACAAGGACTATACAAATTTTGAAAAAAAAACGTTGGGCGCCATATATGTAAATTAATGTGGAAATTTAAATTTTTTATGTTTATTTTTTCAAGGACTAGAAAGCCACCAAGCGAGGATTTTTAAAGAATATTTTTTACCAGAATCATTAAGTTTTTTGGATCATTAGAAGTTGAGTAGCTTTTCTTCAGCTGGTTTCCCCCAATCTACAACCAGTCGCTCCGCAAAATAGTTCACTAGAAATTGCTGATTAATACCAGTAGCCACCACATAAGATAAATAAATAATTTCATTGTTCTAAATATTCCATAAAAAATATAATAGTTTTTTTTATTTATTTAAAGATTTTATTAATTCCAAACACGTCTAAATGTTAAATAAAAATTCGACGTGAATTTATTTGAAGCATGCGCTGTGTTTGCTTCGGCGGCATGCTTCTCATCCGTTCATTCATTGTGTGTGTGCTATGTGGTGTTTAATTTGCCATATTCTGATGATGTTGGGCTGCTTTACTGACTGACTGCTGGTTGTCACTTCTATTCGTTGGGTCTGTCAGAGAGAACGACAGCGACAACTTTCGTCGTCACAACAACCGACAAAAATACAAATGAAAAGAAGAAGAAAAAAAATAACACACAGAGGGAAACAAAACAGAACAGAACAAACAAACGGTACTTAATGGTCAGTGGGACAAGTACTTTTATGTTGGATACCTATGTGTAGGAAGGAGTGTGGGGAGTGGTGAAGACAAGGAGAAAGGGGAATAAATTGTGAGGAATCATTGTATTTTTTTATATTTGTATTTAGTAGCTATGATTGTTTATTAGGGTAGGTAAGGTTATTGGCATATTGGTGTTAAGGGGGGGGGAAGGTGAAAAAGAGGATTCGTAATAAATATTAATAAATGTTTTTTTAAAAAAAATTCGACATGAAAAAATATTTTTTAAAACATTTTCAAATTGAAAAAATATTTTTTAAAAAATTTTCGACTTGAAGAAATATTTTTTAAAAAAATTTTCGACTTGAAAAAAATTTTTAAAAAAATTTCGACTTGAAAAAATATTTTTTAAAAAAAATTTCGACTGAAAAAATATTTTTTAAAAAATTTTCGACTTGAAAAAATAGTTTTTAAACAAATTTCGGCTTGCAAAAATATTTTTTTAAAATTTTTCGACTTGAAAAAATATTTTTTAAAAAATTTTCGACTTGAAGAAATATTTTTTAAAACATTTTCGACTTGGAAAAATATCTGTTAAAAATTTTTCGACTTGATTTTTTTTTTTTTTTTTACCAAGCCTTGAAAAATATTTTTTTAAAAGTTTTCGACTTGAAAAAATATTTTTTAAAAAATGTTCGAATTGAAAAAATATTTTTTTAAAAAATTTCGACTTGAAGAAATATTTTTTAAACAATTCACGCATTGAAAAAATATTTTTTAAAAAATTTTAGACTTGAAGAAATATTTTTTAAAGAATTTTCGACTTGAAAAAATATTTTTTATAAATCCACGCCTTGAACAAATATTTTTTAAAAAAATTTCGACTTGAAAAAATATTTTTTAAAAAATTTTCGACTTGAAAAAATATTTTTTTAAAAAATTTCGACTTGAAAAAATATTTTTTAAAAAAATTTCGACTTGAAAAAATATTTTTAAAAAAAAAATTTCGACTTGAAAAAATATTTTTTAAAACATTTTCGACTTGAAAAAATATATGTTAAAAATTTTTCGACTTGAAATTTTTTTTTATAAATCCACGCCTTGAGAAAATATTTTTTATAAATCCTCGCCTTGAAAAATATTTTTTAATAAATCCACGCCTTCTGTGGGCCTTGAAAAATATTTTTTTATAAATCCACGCCTCTTATGGACCTGGAATAATATTTTTCTAATGAACCAACGCCTCCTGGTGCCCTGAAAAATATTTTTTAATAAAGCCACGCCTTGAAAAAATATTTTTTATAAATCCACGCCTTGAAAAAAATATTTTTTAATAAATTTCGACTTGAAAAATTATTTTTTTATAAATCCACGCCTTGAAAAAATATTTTTTATAAATCCACGCCTTGAAAAAATATTTTTTATAAATCCTCGCCTTGAAAAAAATATTTTTTAAAAAATTTCGACTTGAAAAATTATTTTTTTATAAATCCACGCCTTGAAAAAATATTTTTTATAAATCCACGCCTTGAAAAAATATTTTTTATAAATCCTCGCCTTGAAAAAAATATTTTTTAAAAAATTTCGACTTGAAAAAATATTTTTTTATAAATCCACGCCTTGAACAAATATTTTTTTATAAATCCACGCCTTGAAAAAATATTTTTTTTTAAATCCACGCCTTGAAAAAAATTTTTTAAATCCACGCCTTGAAAAAATATTTTTTAAAAAATGTTCGATTTGAAAAAATATTTTATAAAAAATTTTAGACTGGAATGTGAAAATGTTTTTTTTTGAAAAATCCACGCCTTGAAAAAATATTTAACAAAAAAATTCTCGCCTTCAAAAAATGTTTTTTTTTAAATCCACGCCTTGAACAAATATGAAAAATCCGCACGGGTCTTAAAAAAAAATTTCCCCTTTTAAAAATATTTTGAATATATGTATTTCTATATAATTTAAAACTAACATATATTTAAAATTCCTCATATTTTAATCCTAAAAACCTTTTTAGGGTTAAAATGTGAGGAATTTTAAATATTTGTTAGTTTTAAATGATATAGAAATACATATAATCAAAATATTTTTAAAAGGGGAAATTTTTTTAAGACCCGTGTGGATTTTTAAATTCCTTTGTTTTTTATTTTATTTTACATTCTTTATTTAATTTTATATATTAATAAATATATTTAAAATTAAAAAAATATTTTAATTTCCTCACATTATGGCCAATGTATTTGTAAGTAATTTAAAAATAATAACCAATATTAAAAACTACTAACATTTTCACCCAAAAAAACCACTATCTTATGCTATAAAAATAATAATGAACCAAAAATCGATATTTTATTTTTTTACTTCTTTATTTTATAACTTAATAAATATATATAAAAATAATCAATATTTAATCTCCCCACATTCTTGCCTATGAATCCCTAATTAATGCCCTATCATTATTTTCATGCAATAATAACATCAAATACTTTCGTAAAGATCAAGGAAAAATATATCAAATTATTTCTTTCTTTTTTTCCATTACATTTTGAAAAATTGTATTTAAAAATTTTAATATTTTACTTTACATTTTCACTTGTTTAATATTATAATAACAAATACTTTAACATGTTCATATTTCGACCTACGGATCCCTAATTCACTCACTCCCTCTCAGACATTTTCTGGTAATTTTCCATTAAAATAGTTTTGTTTTTTAATTAAATTTTTGTATTTATTTATTTTATCGCAAAATTTTTAAATTTTTATTTAACAAATTTAAACAAATACCAACATTTGGTACCCTGTTGAAATGTACATTCAATTGCCGCTTTGCCATCTCTGGTGAGAATGTTTGTTTTGTTTTTGGAGCGCAATGCAAATATTTCCATAACATACTATAAATTCTATATGAAATATTCTATAATTTTATTAAATAAATAATGTATTATAAATTTCAATATCTCTTTTATTTATTTATGCTTTAAAATCATTAAATTGCATTTAATTAATATCTTTAAACAGTGTTTTATCTTCACCCTCACATATGCTCTCTCACTCTGTGTGTTTGCCATTCTCTCTCTCCCTGTTTTCCCCATATTTCACCCACGGCCGTTGAAAATACCACACAACGCCGCCATTTACCACACATCACTGGCGACGCCGTCAGTTCCAGCCATGCATAGACTTGGTTCTCCAGGCCATTGTAGAAATTAATGTTGAACGACGAAGAAGTGAACCCGAGACGAGAGTGCATATACAAGCAATACAAGCAACCGTGAAATCGAAGTACATTTCTCTGAAAGAAATAAAACAAAAAAGAAAAAAACGAATTGTTTATTAAAACAAATGAAGTGCATAGCAAGAATATATAATAAATTAATTAAATAAATCAAGAAAAAGAAATACAACAAGCTGTAACAAACAGATCTGCAAGCGTGTGTGCGTTTGTGTGTGTGAAAAAAGGAAGAAAAAGGAACAAAGGAAGAAGAAGAGCAGCACATACGGGAAAACAGGCAGGCAAGGCAAACGAAACGAATCAACAGCAAAAAGCAAAATTTTAGGTGTGACATGATTTTATTGCATGGAAAAAACGAAGAAGAAGCATAAAGTGAAGAAGAAGTTTTAATAAAAAACGAAACACACACAACAGAGTGTTGCGGTTGTTGAAGAAGAGATAAATAAATTATTGTTGTTAATTTAAAACAAAGAAAATTACAAAAACAACGCCTTTATTACAACAAAAAAATAAATTGGAAAATTCTCCATCGGAAAATAAACGGAAAAAAGAAACCCTCATACAACAAAACTATCAATGTGTGTGTAGTGTGCGAGTGTCGTCCCCCCTCTCCATCATCCTTGTGTGTTCTGTTTGTTGGTGTGTTCATCCATTCGTTCGATTCGATTACTGTGTATGAGTGTTGTGTGTGTTGTTTTGTAAGAAGAGATAAACCCCGTACATTCAAAGTCAGGCAGGCAGCCAGGCAAAGCGGCCATAGCAGCAAATACAGCAGCAACAACAACGATAGCAAGAATTTCAGCGGTGACGAATATTGCAGCAAGCACAAGCAGGCAAGGAACAGCGACGACGCCAACGCCAACAAACATTGTTATTCTGAAGTAGACGACAAGCAGCACAAAGCAAGCAGCCAAAGGCTATAAAACAAACGACATCATCATGCAAAACAGTCCTCGTTCCAATGTCAATGGAGCCATCTCCTCATTACCCAGCACTTTGGCACAATTGGCCCTCAGAGATAAACAACAACCTGCCTCCAATGTAACATCCACTAGTGCTCTCCTGGGCGGGGGCAACAGTTCCAGTGTCCTCTCAAAGGCAGCCGTCTTACAGCAGCAGGCCAATGGTTCGCCGGGTGGTGGTGCCGGAGACTCTTCAAATCTAGGCCACAATGATTCCAATAAGCTGACCACAGAATTACAAGAGAAAGAACAAGAAAATCAAAAGCAACAACTGCAACAGCAGCAGCAGCAATCACAGCCAAAACAGAAGCCACCATTGCCAGTACGCAATAAGCCCATGGAAATTGCAGGTTATGTCGGTTTCGCCAATCTGCCGAATCAGGTGTATCGCAAAGCAGTTAAGCGTGGCTTCGAGTTTACGCTTATGGTGGTGGGCGCCAGCGGTCTGGGCAAGTCCACTCTCATCAACTCCATGTTCCTGTCGGACATCTACAATGCCGAACAGTATCCTGGGCCATCGTTGCGTAAGAAAAAAACCGTTGCCGTAGAGGCCACCAAGGTGTTGCTGAAGGAGAACGGTGTCAATTTGACACTGACCGTGGTCGACACGCCCGGCTTTGGTGACAGTGTGGACAACACAAATTGTTGGGTACCCATACTGGAATATGTTGACTCCAAATATGAAGAATATTTGACAGCTGAATCGCGGGTGTATCGCAAGCAAATACCCGACAATCGTGTCCATTGTTGTTTGTATTTCATTGGACCCACAGGGCATGGCCTGAGGCCCTTGGATATTGCCTGTATGCAAAGTTTATCGGATAAGGTGAATTTGGTTCCTGTCATTGCCAAGGCCGACACTCTGACTCCCGATGAGGTGCATTTGTTTAAGAAACAGATCCTTAATGAAATTGCCCAGCACAAAATCAAGATCTATGACTTCCCCTCAACGTTGGAAGATGCTGCCGAGGAAAGTAAAACCACACAAAATCTAAGGACCCGTGTTCCCTTTGCGGTGGTGGGTGCCAATACCATTGTGGAGTTGGCCGATGGCAAAAAGGTGCGTGGCCGTCGTTATCCCTGGGGTCTGGTGGAGGTGGAAAACCTCTCACATTGCGATTTCATTGCTTTGCGTAATATGGTCATACGCACCCATTTGCAGGATCTCAAAGATGTCACCAACAATGTCCACTACGAGAATTATCGCTGTCGCAAACTCTCCGAGCTGGGTCTGGTCGATGGTAAGGCACGTCTGTCCAACAAAAACCCCCTCACCCAAATGGAGGAGGAGAAACGGGAACATGAATTGAAAATGAAGAAAATGGAGGCGGAAATGGAACAGGTCTTCGACATGAAAGTAAAGGAGAAAATGCAAAAACTTAAAGATTCCGAAATTGAGCTAGCCCGGCGTCATGAGGAACGCAAAAAGGCCCTCGAACTGCAGATCCGGGAATTGGAGGAGAAGCGTCGTGAATTTGAGCGGGAACGCAAAGAGTGGGAGGAGGTAAATCACATCACATTGGAGGAGTTGAAGCGACGCAGTCTGGGAGCGAACAGCAGTACGGATAATGTCGATGGCAAAAAGGAGAAAAAGAAGAAGGGTTTGTTCTAAGGCTTGTTTGTCAAAGAGGAGTAGTTGTGGAGTAGTAGTGTGTGAGAGAAGACTTAGTGGTTTTCTTTTTCCCCCCCCAAAAAAAAAACACGGCGAAATATTCTTAAAAAGCAAAAAAAAAAAAAAAACTAAACTAAAGAACAAAACAAAAGCACAGCAGTATTTTTTTAAATCCCCCTCTCCTTTCCTTTTTTGTTAAACTAGAGAAAGAGATGATGACCTACCCCGCCCAAAGAAATTTCGTTGAGCCATGTTTAATTTGTAAAACAACCGCCCTCCCTCAAAATTTTTGTATTATTATTTTGAATTATTGGAAGTAAAAAAAAAAAAAAATAAAATTAAGAAAAATTTAAACCTAAAAAACAAAATTGATATTTGACGCTATTAAAATAGTAAAACTTCTTTAGTAAGCAAAATAAAAATAAAAAAGAAAGAAAGAAATGGAATTTCAGCACAATTTCAAAATCAAATAAAACATGAAAAAAATCTTTAAAAATTAAACTGCCAAAATCTCCCAAATTTCTTCTCAAAGATATCTTTTATTTTTTTTTTTCATTGCTAAGCTATCGATTTACAATATTTTTTTATTTGTTCTTAGCTTTTAGATTTTATATAACGAAAACCCCCTCCTTTGCCGCTTAAAAATGAAAAAAGGATCAAACAATATTTATTTGTAGTCCTTTAAAAAAATATAATCTTATTTTTTTTTTTTTAATATATAACATTAAGTACATAAGGTATATAGTTGTGTTATAAATATATATATAAATATAAAACAAAACGAAAAAACATTAAAAACATAATTTTTGCAATATTTCCATTTAATATAAAAAACATGTATATGATGATAATTTTTTTTTTAATTTTATTGTTTAAATACAGGCTTTTTGTTGCACCAACCAACACCCCATACCTATACATATAATCGTTCATAAATATAATAATAAATTAATTTATTATTAATATTATTTTTCATTGTAGGCAATTGTGTTTAGTTAGTTGCCCCTCCCACAAGACATAAAACTTTTGTAAATATTCGAAAATAAAATAAAAGTTTTTTCAATGTTAAAAATATTTGAAAGCCAGCCTCCCCACCCATTATCAACCCTCGCCCGCCCATTTTTTTTTTGTAATTCGAATAAAATTAAACACTTAAAAATATATAAAACACAATCCTTTTTTTCTTTACTCTTCTTTCCAGAGCTGTACTACTAAAAAGACAAAAGGCAACAGTTGTTTATTTCCCCCTTCAAATTTTGTGGACCTGCCCCAAAATTGTTTTTTTTATTTATTTTTGCAAATTTAAAAAAAAGCTATAATAAAAAGTATCTTTCTCCAAATTAAGAGTAATTTTTGTGTGGTTAAAAAATGTAAAAAAAATAAAATTTTGAATATCATACCTCATGGGTCCATATAAAATCTTGATAGCCACCACATAACCACTCATACTTTTCAAATCAATAACAATTTTTGACTTTAGATGAAAAAAAAAATTATGTTATTGGAAAAAAAGTTGTTACAATTCAAAGGAAAGACATTGAACATCTTCCTGGACAAAATATGGGCAGTCAAAATTGCAGCTCACAGAAATTGGCTTCCTCAATACTTTCCGATTCTATAAACATATATTTTTTAAAGGATCCGTAGTAGTCGTGGATTCAGAATATTTAGGGATCCATATAGGCACTAATTTAAAAAATATATATTTTTTTAAGGATCCACATAAGGCGTATACTTTTTTTAAATATATGTTTTAGAAATCCATATAGGGAGTGGATTAAAAAAAAATAGGATCCATAAAAGGCGTGCGTTAAAAAAATATATGTTTTTTTGACGCGTGGATTTTAAAAAAAATTTTTTTGAAAGGATTTTTAAAAAATATTGAGCAAGGTTCCATACATGGCGTGCATTTAAAAAATAAATTTAGGGATCCATGAAAAAAATTAAAAAATATTTAAGGATCCATATAAGTTGAGGATTAAAAAAATATTCTAAATATAGGCACTAATTTAAAAAAAAATATGTTTTTTAAGGATCCACATAGGGCGTATATTTTTTAAATTAAAATTTTTTCGCGGGCCACATAAGGCGTAGACTTTTTAAATAATTTTTTTCGTGACCCTTATAAGGCGTGGATTTTAAAAAAAATATTTTTGAAAGGATTTTTAAAAAATATTGAGCAAGGTTCTATACATGGCGTGCATTTAAAAAATAAATTTAGGGATCCATGAAAAAAATTAAAAAATATTTAAGGATCCATATAAGTTTAGGATTAAAAAAATATATTTTTGATCGGATCCATATAAAGGTGGAGTTGTTTGGAATACTATTTATATTTTTTTATTCCAAATAGCAAGGATTAAAAAAATTTTTTTTTAAATATTCCAAAATAAGTGGATTTAATTTTACCCATATTTGTCGTTAACACCAAACAATAGTTACAGAATTGCACTGCTGGATAAAATTTCGAAATTCTACTAAATTTTTAAAACTACAGTCAGATTGGCTGTAATTCGAGATTTTAATTTGGATTTTTTCTGAACAAAATATATGAATCGATTTCAGTCATGGTTTTTTAGGTGTTGGGGCTTGATATTTCATAGGTTTCAAATTTCAGTATGTCTTCCAAAATCTCTTACTATAAACAAATTTTAAAAAGAATTTATGTGGTGATAGATTTTTATATGTATATGAAAATAAAGGAAATATTTAAAGTGAATAGACAAATGTGGCCCAAATCTTACATTGGACCAATTCTTATATAGGACCTTCGTTGAAAAAATGGTTTTCTATATTTTGACTCAGACTCTAATGATCGTAAAATCGGAAAAGTAAAACAAACCTTTTGCAAAAGCTTAAGCAAATAGAAATGGCTTTATGTTCTGCGGTCCGAACTTTCCAGAAAATCTGACATTTATTTGTAATTTCCAATTCCAATTGGATTTATACTATGCTACAGCGAATGATGTTGAAAAGTGTGAAAAAAGGATCGATATCAAAACCAGTGAGCGGAGTAGTATAGTCGGACGGGGCCGACCATACGATACCCTACACAATTTCCACGAAACTCTAACTTTCTGCGGATTTTTATTCCGAGCCTGGGCAATATTTCGTGATAGTTGCACCCTCTTGCCCGGTTAGAGGCCAACATCACCATAATTGCGGACCAGAAAAACCAACAAAAATTAAGTATTTGGTCCATTTTATTTGGTCATCATCGATCAGAACCCATTCTACATGCAAAATTTCGTGAAGATTGGTCCATAACTGTGGCCTGTATCTTGTTTACAAATTATAATGGACAGACGGACGGACGGACGGACACACATGTCTAGATCGACTATATGCTAGTCGAGATATGACGATCGGTATACTCAAATGTGGGTGTAGGACCAATATTTCGCGGCGTTACCAACTCTTGGGGCTGCACAAAGCTAAAAATATCCTGACAACATAGTTGTGTAGTAGGGTATAAAAATCGGATCTATAACAAATATTTCTAAAATGTTTGTATTTGGGAATATTGGGCGCCATGGACCAATATTGAAAACTTTTGGTACGGAATCAGAAAAAAGATATCAATAAACGGCAAATTCAAAATGCCGAAAATTAACGAGTGTCGTTAATTGGAGGTTTAATCTATCAGAATTCACAAAAGATTTGTTGTACAACGTTATAAAAAATTATATTCATTTTATAAAAAAAAAAAACTCATCCATTTCAATCCTATAGCTATTTGCTACACCTCCCTCATTTTTGGCAATTCTTTCTTTAATTATATTATTCGATAAAAAGAATTGGTGGATATACGTTTATTCCATTTCATAATTTGAACAAAATTCTGAATGAGTATTGTTGCTAAAGTAAGATTTTACTATTTTATTTCACACAAACACAAATTCCAAAAAAAAAAAATATTTTTTTATTTTTAACTTTATGAAAGTATAATATAATGGTACTCCTCTGACGAAATAAAAACGGAAGAGAATAAAATAAATTATGGAACAAAGAAATGCAAAGAAACAAACATTACAAATAAAATGAAATAATAAAATAAAACCAAATTATAATTAATAATGAAAAAATAATAAATAAATTTAAAAAGGAATATTAAACAAAAAATAAATTTAATGAATAAAAAATAAATAAGTAAAACTAGTAACGATTTACACTGGGCACTTTCAATTATATAAAATAAAATTGCCTTGTGTAAATCTGTACTAACACAATAGAGCCCAAGAAAAATCCCCATAAAACACATACAGTATGAACCAGATATAGGCAACGCAGTTAAAAAAAAAAAACTATAAAAATTACTTCAGGTCCAAAAAAAAAAAAAAAAATATTGACAAAATTTGAATGACCTAATTTAATTAAAGGGAAATTTTTGCTTAAGCAGTGTTAACAAATTGAATATACAGTGAACTCTCGATAATGTGACACTCAAACTGACATTAAAATGGTCGAATCGAATATGTGAACAAATTCGAAAATATGAACTACCCCTATATTTTGAATCATTACAAAATAAGTTTCAAACGACTGAAACAAAAAATAGTTTCAAATGTAATACTAAACGATTAAAAACATCTCATTTGGGACATTTTCTCTCTAAAAGGGAAAATTTTCTTAACTGGGAAAAATTTTATTTTTCAATATTTATGGAAATTTCTTTTAGAAAATTTCTATAAAAAAGAAAACAAAAAATTGCATTGAGGAAAAACTTAACAATTGTAAATTTTCTTGAAAATATTAAACAAAAGCAAAAAATTTCCCATCTTGGTGATTTTTTTCCTAATAAAAAAATGTGTTAATTTGAACATTTTCTTCAATAGAAGGGGAAATTTTCTTCACATGAGTGAAACAGTTATTTTTCAATATTTTTTAAAAATGTTTTTTTAATTTGGCCACTTCAGGACAAATTAGCACCAATAAAACTAAAACATCACATTTTGAAATTTTTTTCTCATTTAAGGAATTTTTCATCTTTTGGAAAATTTTCCCCATTTTGGGAAATTTTTCCAA